AGTAGCAGTAGCAGTAGCAGTAGTACTAGTACTAGTACTAGTACTAGTAGTAGCAGTAGTAGTACTACTACTCCTAGTACTAGTAGTAGTAGTGGTACTGTACTGTACTGTACTGTACTAGTAGTACTGTACTGCTTAAGCGTCCCCCCCTGGAAAGGGAGAGGTTGACCTGTTGGTGATAGTACGCCTCTCCTTGTTGTTGCAAATAAGTTTCTTGCTGAGCATCAAATGCCTTGTGTCTCATTGTTCCTGTAGTACTAATTTTATTTTTGTTACAATGTTGTTTTTTCTTGTTACAGTTAAACAATGTTGTTTTTTCTTGTTACAGTTCAAACAAACCCTGCACTACTACTACTAGTAGTACTACTGGCCCACCTAGTACTACTACAAGGACTACAAAAAAGAGCCTCATGCTGGGAAGTTTCTTGAAAATCCAACCCCCAGACCCCCATTCCTCTTTGAGAACCACCAAGTACAGTTCTAAAGTTTTGACTTCCTTGGTGATTGATGGGGCACACTGATCCACCACCACTTCTGTTCACCAACCCTTTCATCAAGAATTGTATTTTGTATTTTTGGAATGGCTCCCAGCAGTCAATTGACTCATTTCCTGATATATCTTTATTACTTCCTCCATCCATAAAGAAAGCTCAATATTTGGGCAATTGGAATGCTTCTTTTTGTGCTTGACAGATCTAGTATTACAAATGTATCATACAATGGTAACACTCAAATAGTAGTACTAGTACTATATACTGTTCTTAATCAAACAACTGGGGGTGTTAGTATAACTACTACAGTAGGAACAATTCTACTAATAGCTAGTAGTACTAGTTGTTCTACAAAAATAATGCTGCTGGTACAACATCATTACTACCACCATACCACGGGCAAACTAGCTAGTACCACCACCACCACCACCATACCAACAACAACAACAAAGAGGTGCTGCTGGTACTGGCTCAAAGTAGTGATATGATGACAGCAGCCGCTTCTACTATTAATATTTGTTCTCAATCTGCCCCCTGTGTTGAGAGCACACTGTATCAACTTTCACATAAAAGCTGTTCCCTCCTTTGTTACTACTACTACTATCAGCAGTGTTCAGGAACAATCATGATTGGCGCAGCACTCATATCATCAGGGACATTTCTTCTTTTTCAACTTGTTGTTGGTACTACTTATAGTACTATGTGCAGTTGGCAGTGGCAATATTGCTGATGGAAATAGCAATGAGGATAAAAGCAAGAAGAAACAATCATTTAGCAGTAGTAGGAGAAATAGCAATGGAAGATGATAGTATTATGGGGTGTCAGCAAATGAACTAACAAAAGGGTCACAAGAAGTCAGTAAATAATTTGTAGTACCAAAAGGGGGAACTTCAAAATTCTTCTAGATTTAGAATGGAAGTTGGAAATGAAAAATTAACATGGTTAGAAACATCATACTACTAGAATACACAACAACTAGTATTAGTAGCTTTACTAGGAGTACTAGTATTGCTGCTCGACAGCATTTTTCTGCTAGAAATTGAATAACAGGTTCTCCTTCCCATATTTTGCCAAAATATTTTGACACATGAAGATGGGTGATTTCAAAAATGCACCGTGTCCTATTGAGTCCTAGAAATACTGAGAGTGTATCATGAACTGAATTAAAATAAAAGAATTACATTGAAAATAGTCACATGAACCATGAAAATGTGCTTTAGATCATGCAAATGGTAACTCAGAAAGGCATGTAAACTACTATGATTGTTTTCTATTCTATTTGTGATTCATGTCTTTGTTGGTGACTGCCAGATCCTGTTTACATCATCATTCCATGGTGTTGATCACGCCCTTCATCCTTTGTAACTCTATCCAAAAGGGCTCCCACCCGTTTTTGAACGGTATCAATCTGCTTTTCGGTACCCTGTATAAGAAGAACACGCCTGACTTGATCAACGTACATTTTTGTTCCTGTTGCTCGTTGCATACTAATAATGGTTGCTCCCCTTCTCCCAATGACAATACCGACGTGGTTGCCCAATTCGATTTCTGCGGTCTGTAACTCTTCTTCCTTATCATCGATCGTGTCTTGCAATCCGGCGGTGCTGCCCAATCGGTTTCGAGCCCAAAATTTGGTTTGCCGGTCGTTCGATCCACTCGCAAGCATGTGTCCGGCAGGGCTATACAGCAAAAGATATCGTGAAAATAAACAAGAGTACGAATCCAGACAAAAGAAAGTGAGAAAAAAACCAATCGTACCCAACCGTGCACGCAAAGCAACCTCTCGATCTTCACGATGACGCATAGACATAAAAGCAAAGGGCAACTTACTGCCATTGCAAATCCCAAATTGCCATATCGTGCGCATATGGTACCCGAGCCGCTGGCTCCTCGCTTCCCTTTGCGCCTAGATTCCAGAAGAGAAGGGTTCCATCCATTGCACCCGACGCCAGCACACTTTCATGGAATGGATGCCACGCGAGGCTCGTTACTTCCTTGTGGTGACCCTTGAGACTGACGAGTTCTTTCATCGCACGAATGTCGTAGAGCTTGATCAACTGGTCACGGCTTGCCGTCACTAGCCAATTCCCGTTGTTGTTCCACGCAACTTTGGTGACGGTATTTTTATGGCCGTACAGTGTCGAGAGACAAGTTCCCGCCCGCGGGTCCCACAATTTGACCAAGTTATCCTTGCTACCACTAGCAATCACGCTCGATCTGGGATGCCACTGAGTTGTCTTCACGTCCCATCCGTGTCCCTCTAGGACGCGCTCTTCCGAGTGAGTAGCCCAATCCCACACCCTAACTTTTGAATCGTCCCCACAAGAGACGAACTTTGTGTCGCTCGGTGAGAAACTCAAGGCATGGATGGCTTGTCCGTTGTGTGAATCAATCGATTGAACGGGCGCGATAGAGGGCGACCAATATTTGATGTTGCCACCGGAGTCGCTAGTGAGCAAATAGTTTCTGTTGTGCGACCATGCCATGCTCCGAAAGCTTACGTCGTGAGCAGACATGATTAGTTCGAAGCCAAATGTGATCCCGTCCCATAGAGTAAACTCTCCTTCTTGATTCCCCGTCAATAGTCGCCTCCCTCCGGGCGTCCAGCTAAGGCACATTATTGGCGTAGAATTCTTCGCGCGTGTCACGTGGGCCAAAAATGTCAAATAGGCTCTAGAGGGATTGCACGCAGAGACGGAGGATATGGGCATACCCATCAGACGCAAATACGCCGAATGGGGTTGCAAATGATTGGAGTAGTGATTTCGGACGTGAGCAGAACGACATGCCTTGTGATAGAGGCGGTTGCTAATATCCATGACAGCGGGAGCATGAAAATCTACGCATCTTCGTATCAGATTTCGTTCGGCAGCCTTCTGCTCGGCATCGTCGGGATCCTCGCTGTTGTTATTTTGTTTGCTTCCACCCCCGCGATGATGAGAACCTCCACCATAATGATTCGACATTGCGATTTATTACAAGATGTCGGTTGAAGAATTGACTGAAAGTGGTGGAATTGATTGTAGAATGGTTGGAAATTCTATCTACTTGTGTCGTTCATGCCATATCGGTACCATTGCTGCCGTGATGTTGTTGTAAGCGATTGGATCTCTGTTTCCGTACGGTACTACGGTGCGAGTGCCATACTACGTTCCGTGCGGGACGATCCGGGAGTACTACTCGTACTCGTCTTAATCGTAGTACGTACTCGTACTGTAAGTACGAGGTTGTGGTATGAAATGTCGTATAACAGGTTATGAGTCATAATTTTGCAAAGCTTTGCTTGCTTGTTAATGCTACCAAAGCACCAATCAGAATTGGAGAATCCATTAGTCGGAAAGGGTTTTCTCTTGTCTTTCCATACATGTGCATATCATGTGGGTTTCTTGCCAGAGAACCTTTTCCGGCTACTTGATTTCTCTGCAAGGAATTTTCCGAAAAACTCCGCAACACAACCTCCAGCATAGTAGGGACCTGTCACTCCTCCAGTTCAACACCAAAACCTCCACTAACACCTTGATTGATATACAGGATTGCTTCACCTGTACCCCCCCCCCAAAAAAAAAAAAAAAAAAAAGTACGTACCTGGGCTGGGCCTTCCGGAACCCATGAGCGCACATCCCCCCTTTGAAATCCAACATTGGGGGGCATGATTTTGTGGGTTATTTTTCCAATAACATGGCTTCTTATTTTTCCTATGTAATAACCCATGATTCTAAAAACATAGATTATCTTTCACCAAAAATAACCCAGGTTTTAAAACATGGGTTCCTGGGGGGTTAACCCCCACCAATAACCCAACCCACGTTTTGTTCGTGGATTAACCCATGAATAACCCACAAATCTGCTGGTGGTCCTATTTTTGAACACCAAAAAACATTGATTGATTAACATCACTGACTTAAATACTTAATGTCCTTGATTCTCCTCCTATCCTAAGATTGACTCGTAAATTGTGGGTTATTTGTGTGTGGTTTTTCATGGGTTATTTTTCCAATAAAATAATCTACGTTTTAGAAACATGGGTTATCTTTCCGATGAAATAACCCACAATTTTAAAATGTGGGTTATTTTTCACAAAAATAATCCATGTTCTTCTAAGGGAGGAATTCAAAAAGAGGGGATGCAATCATGGGTTTTGGAGGGCCCTGACCAAGCCTAAAACAAAATTCTGACCTAATTGAAAAATGTTTCCCAGAACCCCTCAAGTTTCCAATAGCCTTTACTACTACATACTGTACAAGCAAATGCTATTCCCCCAGTAAGAATTTTTATTCCTGTGTACTGCACCATACATTCACAGCCCAATGCTACTAGCTAGTGGTTAATGTGGTCAAACTAGTCAGGGATCTAGTATTAGCTTGTTGCATGTGGAAATAGACTGTTTCTGAACATCCCTGTTGTTTGTTGTTTCTAAACGAGGAATGATGGAGTTCATTGATTCCTTGTCTAGCTATGGTGGTCATTGTTGGCACCAGAAGTTTTGTTTTTTGTGAAGAGAAGTGGTGTTCTTGTTGTTGTTCTTACACTACTAGTACAAACAGAGGACTACCAGTGAAATTTTGTGGAATACTACTAGTAGGAGTAAGAACTCTTGAAAGCACAACATAAATCCAATTGCTTGTGTAAGACCAGGCTGAAACCAATCCATTTTCTAAATTTTGCTTTGTTGTTTGTTGTTTGAGTTTGAGGATGGGTTATTTTTTGCTCATAATACTATACTTGAGGATATCAAAATTTCTTAGCATTTGCTGCTACAGTTGCTATGCAGTGTGTTGAGAAATGAAACTTATCACTCTATTTGAACTCTTTTTGATTCCCCTTATCTATTGTTCAACCATCTCAGCATCTACTCGTCCTCCTTGAACAAAATATCTTTTAACATTTATGACTTAACAATCCTGGTACCCATTTTTTGCTTCATTGACTTGAATACTAGTATAGCTACACCAGCATATGGCTCCACCATAAAAAATCAACAAGAGAGAGCCTCCTCCCACAAGTTTGAGTTGATTTAGGTCAAATACAAGTAACAATAGGTAAATTAGCATTGAAATTATGATATAATGTCATGTCAGTTGGGATACGCATTCAGTGTTTAAATTACTGCCTTTCTTCACTCTGTTGATGTTGGCACCAATATGTTTTAGTAAAAGCATCTGCTGCTGATCACTGGTAAAACTTCCCACTAATACCACTTGAACAGATGACTTTGTTTGATTACTTTGTTTGATTACTTTGTGAAAGAGTGCCCTCAGATTGATCATCATGCAAATCAACATTTCTTGTTTCTGTAGTAGGGGAGAGGCAATGATTCTAGCCCATTAGTACTATCTTGCTTGCTCAACATCACTGTCAAAGAGAGTATGAATAATCTGGATGTTGGGAATGTGTTGTTCTGGGAACAACACAATAAAGACCTTCATGATCACCATCTTTCCCAGAAACAAACACTGCAACAAAGGTGGCTGGCAACACAAGTCCGCAACTGTTTGCCCTACAACCACAGACTTGTCCCTCACATGCTCATTTATTGTCCAAGGACCCCAAAACCTTTTTGTCTCAAGCTACTAGTACTATTGCTATGCTGTACTTTGTTGTCATATTGCCTCCAAGCTTACAAGAACACAATGCTTGCAAGTATTTGTACTGACTTACTCATGTTTCCTGTCTCCAACACAAGTCCTATTACCCAGTATTTTTCATCTTTACCTCAGAGTTAACAGCTACTGGGAAGTGATACACAAGACTGGATGCACTTTGATCATGTGTACTCCAAGAAGAAAAGGCACAAACAGTCTTCTTTACCAGAGAATTCTCTGTCCTGTGCTACTACTGCAGTACAAACATAACAAACCACTATGGCACAGTTTCAGTCTGCCCCCTTAGGTGTTTTTAGCATTTGGTGTTGCTCAGCCTGTTTGTTTTGCTGCTGCTGCTTGTTTTTTTCATCATCCTCAATTTTTAGCAGGGGTGCTCTCTGTCACAGGGTGTATTCTTCTTGATCAATTTAAGGAGAAGGAAATGGGATCAATGAATTGTGTCAAAGCGCAGAAAAATGCATCTGGCACAGTTCCTTCTGATAAACTGGAGACAGAACAAATGTATCAAGGAGGCGGTTTGTTGCCTAACTATGAGATAACACAATTAGTGGCCTAACTTTGTGAGCTGAAACTAGCAGTTCATGTGCAAAGTGTCCATTGTGGGACTGGAATGCGTTGAGTCTAAGTAGTCTTTACACGGTAAAAAGATGGCCCAAAATCAATGCACAGTATAATTTAAYGCTATCCTTGAACTGACAGTTTGTGCTGTAACTTTGACGCATAAGGACAAGAAGCACATGGTTAAAAAGAGAATCGAAAGAGCTTTCTAACACCATGGCGGAGTAGGGGATCAGAGAACTATTGATTGATATATGCTGTGTATGGACATTGGGCATTAAAAATGTACAATCAAATTGGCTTTTTTTGAGTTGCCAGGCCTATACAATAGCTTTCTTTCTTCTATTGGTCACTCATTTTCAAAAGAGGTGCACCCAACCATTGTCAAAACTTGGTTTTCCATCATGTTAATGGACTGTGGAATTTTCTCATGTGCAAGAATAACTATTTGAATCACAAGCATGCTCATTTCTGGTCTCTAGTACTTCTAGTACTGATTCTATACATTATGCAGTCATTCCTTCACTTCAAGTGTCAAAGTTGTTAAGTAACTAGGAGACACTTGTTTCCAGGATGACAGAAAAAGTCATAGGGGACCCCTGTTTCTGGACTGAGGAAGCAAGTTAGGATGTTTGCTGTTTCTGGACTGAGAAAGTTGGTTAGGATGTTGAGAAAACCAAATGGTCATGGTGCTAAATTACTATTGGAAAGCTCCTGTGTCAAACATCATTATTCACCATTACAACTTATTTACCAACTAGGATGTGTATCTGATTTAAGAAACACATGCATGATTCAACACCATAAAACAACTTCTGTACTCTTGACAAAAAAATCTTCTTTGTTTCCCCTCTTGGACCTTCTTGATTCATCAGGAGCATCCTTGCCATCTGCTCCAGCCATCTCAACTTCTGCCAAATTAACCTGCTCTTCAAACCACTCCCAGCATTTAGATAGAAAGAATGCTAGTCTTTGTTCCTCCTCTTGGACCTTTACTCATCAAAAGCATCCTCACCATCTGCTTCAGTCATCTCAATCTCTGCCAAATTAACCTGCTTCTCAAACCACTCCCAGTGTTAAGATACAAAGAATGCTTTTCCTGCATACTCTGGATCCAAGTGGTGGGAGTGCCTTGTTGCTGAGAGGAGTCTGGAAGCTTGACTGAAGAGGCACTCAGGTGTGGCTGAAGTGGGTTGCACTGGAAGATAGATCTTGGCTAGCCTTCCAAGAATTGGATTACTTGCCTGGGGCACTTTCTGCCACTGGAGCAGATCATTGTAAACTGGTAAAGACAAAGCACTCAGAACACAGACACCCATGTAAAGCTCAAGTTTATCTTTACAAGCATGATCAATATTGACCTCTGCACCATTGTTGAATTGATGACCTTTATCCTCTTCAGCTTTTGCCTTTTCTCCCTCCATCAGCTCAAACATCTTGATGTCAGAATCATTAACATCAGTATGTACTTCTTGTAACTCCTGAACTTGTTCCATGTCAGCTCCTTTGCAGTCACCTTAGCTTTGAGTATGACTTGGACTCTTTCATCAGTTCCAGTACTTTGCTGGTGCAGATATCTTTTTTGGTATTTTCATCCTCTCCAACAATGGATACAAGCTCGGGTCAAGGAAGGTAGCAATTGTCAGCATTAGGTGAATTCCCTACTGTCCATTCCTCTTGCCATGATTTGGTGTGAGTCCTTGAGATGACTGATACTGCAGTCCATGTTCAAGTCCTCCAAGAGTTTTCCACTCAGCTCCCCTTCACTATCACCAGTTTCTCTATTGCATAGGCTCAGCTACTCGTTTCCGGCCAAACAATTTGTACATTTTTTACTTCAGAGATACAATGCTGTATACCTTTCAATACTTGTTAACCCCCTACAATCCCCTCATATCTGGGATTTGCTTCATGTGCTTATCATTGTGAAGTGTCTATTGGGGATCAAGATAGAGCTGTTAGAATGAGTTGACCCTTAGTTAACTCTCTACTTGTATTTTGTACAGTGTGTCAATTTCGGGCCATCTAATTACAGTGTAATGACTTGTTGGATTAAAAATTTGGATTTGTACTGCTGTGCAGGTACAGCAATAGCATGTGTTGAAGCAAAAATCAGCAGTATTTGGTCGCACACTTGTGGGACTCAAAAATTCAGCATGTGCCCAGCTGTGAACTGCTCTACAAGCCCTTTTTTAGTCAAAGTAGTCATTACATGCAAAATAAGGGCCCAAAATGTACAACTGGTGGGTACATTTGGTCGCCAACTCTATACTATATTAAATTAGTCTCTCTTGATTTTTTCCCCTGCTCTACACAACACACTTGCATTGACATAGTTGCTTGTCTTGTCCCTCTAGTAGGGCTTTCTGGGCTTTTGAAAAGCTCCACCACAAACATACATCATTTCATTCAGGCATTTTGAGTCATCACCTTTAAGTTTTTCCACTTTGCCATGGTTGACCCTGAATGAACTGCTTCTATTGCTGTTTTGAGGAACCAGAAGATCAATTGCATCAGAAGTTGACCACCATCTTGTTACAACATCATCAATCACACCAACAGGTTTCTTCCTTTTGTAGGTTTGAATACTAATTCCTGGGCCGTCTGAGTAAGCTATTCTCCTGTGGCTTGGGTTGGATAATTGAAGTGGTGCATGTGCACTTTTGCTTTTTCATAACTCTCGTCACCCAGAATGAAGAATACTAGAGCATAATATGCTGCCACAACTACTAGTGGCAGAATAAAGTGTTGACTACTACAAAACAGAGAAATTACAAATCATCAATTGCGGAGTAATCTTCCTAGATATTCTGTTGACATAACTATACTTTCCTTGTTGTGTCGTGCTTCTTTCCCATTGGTTTGTTGCAACATAGATTTTTTGATCTGCGAATCTTGCGTGCAATATAATAGAAACATGCATGTTGCAGCATATTGTGTTGCTAAATATTGTGGTGAACTAGAGAAGCAAATTGAAATGCTAGGGTTGTCAATTTCAAATTTTATATTCGCCTCTTAATTACACAATTCCATACTGCACCTTGGACTATATAATGATGGAAGCATCGTCGTCGTCGTCGTCGTCGTCAGCTACCACTTGACCTTCACCATTATTTTGATCATCCTTTTCTTCGTTTTTGTGGTCCATAGATTCCTTTTTTTCAACTGATATGCTGTAGTCGCTACCCATTTTTTCCGCCTTGCTTTCTTTGTTTTTGACGTCCGTGGGTTGCTTAATTGTCACTGAATACTCATCATCGGCAATCGGTTCTTTATCATGACGATCAGTGTATCCATCGTCCATAGTTTTTTTTCTCACTTCTACACTGATGACGTCATCGCCATCTGTTTCTTCGTCCTTGCGTTCACTATTTCTTTCGCCCATTGATGTCGTCAATGTCGCCGGCAAATAGTGACCACCACCATTTTCTATGCTCTTGTGTTCACCATTTTTGTTGTCCTTGTCCTTGTGTTTGTTTGTTGCTTCTGTAGCAATGTTATCGTCGCCCGCTTCTTCGTCATTGCGGTCATTGCATTTGTCTCCCATACATTTCCTTTTTGATGGGGGAATTTTCGGATCACCAACCTTCTCTGCACCCTTGCTATCATTGTATTTGTGGAAGATCGATTTCTTTTTTGCTACCGTGCCATCAGAATCACCATCTTCCAAATCATCATTGCCTTCATTGCTCTTGTGGCCACTCAACTCTTTCGGGATTTCACTTTCACCCACACTGGGTATTCCGTCAAAGTATTGTTCCTTCACCGCGTTTACAGTATCCAGCTGGTGAATGGTTGGCTGCTCGTTACTCTTTCGTTGCTTGAATAACTTCCTTCGATGCCATTCAAAATTATATCGATGTTGCTCCTGAAGCAACGCAAGAAAGCGTTCTTCTTTCGTAGGATATTCTCCTTCGGCAATGTTTTGCAGAGCTTCTGCCAATAACATTTCCTTAACATCCTCTTTCGGTGGAAATGCCCGTTCTAAAGCCTGTTTCAAAGATTGATTGCGCAATATTTGTCTCTCCAAATCAGCCTGATGTTCAAGTATATATTTATGATGAAGCGCAACACGTTGTTCAAAGATGAAACAGCGCTGTCTCTGCATTGCCATAAGTTCTCGGGATTCTAAGAGGTTTTGCTTGAGAACAAGCATTCTTATGTTTTCCGCTGGCAAACACAATTGGGGGCTGCGTTCTTCCTCAGCTCTGTATTCTCTCTCGAGCAGCAGTACACGCTCTTGACGCATGAAGAAAATTTCTTTGTTCTCCAAATATTTGTGCTCTAAAACTCCCTTAATTCTTAAATGATTTTGAATTTGGGTCGTCGTTTCCTGGATAGATCGTTCTAAGATGATTTTCTCATACATAATTTGATCAGATACAGGAGGCTGCATCTTAGACGAGGAAAAGTGGGAAAGGCAAGTAACACTTGAATCGTCCTTGAGCTTCTTGCTCGGTGGTTCCGACGTTAAACTAGTATCCATTTGATCTTTCTTCAGAACGTGATTTGCTTCCACGAAAGACGAGCTTGTTGCCTTTGCTGATAGGGTCGGCGTTGCGGTTGATTCCTTCAAAACGCGGGAACTAAGCTTTTCTAGATCTAAAGCATACTCACAAATTACATCCTTTAAGGATGATTCTAAGGATGGGTCTTCTATGTTTCCTTTAACGGAAGCATGGTCGATGGTCGATGTCCATGGTTTCTGATCTCGAAAAGCCCTCATTGTGAGTCGCTCGATATCCTGTGACAGCATTTTTTTTGTAAATCTCGTTGAGTATTGGAAACGACGGACAGACGAAAGACGAAACCATGCGAACCGGCACCTCGAAAGCCCGCAGCCCCACCAATACACTGCCCCTACACCCCAAGAAGC